GGCATAAATTGGACCAAACAACAAAACTTCAGTATAAACTTTTATTAATAAATTTGGATTTAATCGGCTGTAATTCAACAACCGCATAACCCAATTTGAACTAGTGTTCAGAATGTTATTAATCGATATATATCACTCTATTTATTTTGCTAATAGTAGATGTTGAAATTGTGATCTTTAGAAAAAGTGTTATAACATAACAATTATCTGGATAGTACTATAATAATTATCAAAAACATGTCTATAGTGGTTAAACAACATAATAAGTTAAAAGATATATGTTCAACTTTTTTAATCAAGACTTTTTTGCATTTGGGTATATAGATTAAACTATATTTTATCCTAATCAAACTTTAATTCTTTTCTTTCAATAGTAGTTAGAATCCTAACCTAGAATATTTCAATCTGATATAAAGCTTAAATGGTTTGAAAAATAATCAACCATAGGTAGTAAGAAAAATTATAGTCTTGCAAAAGAAACCATAGGTTAACAGAAGTGTGATTTGAGGTCTGGCAATAAAGTAAAGAGGCACTTGAACCAATATTCTTAATCAAGATACCTCTAGACAAAGCTAAACCATGTAGATTAAATAGTTTAAACTAGTGATAAAATTTTTATATCCTATAGGCCCATCCAATATCATATAGAGAATCGTTAAAGATGATAGGTTCCTAAGCACTGAAAGTAAGGTAAGATATAAAGAATAATTTGTATAGAGTATATAATATACTGATTTGTATGAATTCTAATGTTGCAATTGTAATTGATATAAGGCACTTATCAATAAAAAATCCTGTGGATATTATATTTCACCATATATATATATATATATAATATATTGTATTGTATAACTATTCTATTGCCTTGAATATTTATCTTTGACTAATATTTCTAAATGTAACTTTGAAGATGAAAAAAATTGCTCTCTTTAATATTTACTTATTTATAAAGTTTAATCTTAAAAATTATTGCTTGCAATTTATCACTATGATAATTATTTCAAAAGTTATATCTAGAAGTTAAATTTAAATAATAACATAAAGATCTTAATAAGAATTATATACAAATTATAATAATTATTAAGTATAATATGAACTGTCAAGTTTAATAATACAGTTTGTCTATTTCCTTATATTAAAAATGTATTATTTCTGCTTCAATAATTAATAAACAAGAGCCTCTCATATTGTGACTTTTGCATTCAAAAAAAAATTAATAATTGATCTTAAACATATTTGTTTTATCAATTTTACAACGAGGTTTGTATAACTGAATAGCATAAATTTCATTATTAAAGTTATTATATAATATATTATTAATTTTTTTAATTCTTCAGTCTTTTTCGTAAAAGAATTATGATATACTGTATTAATAAATGATATATATTTTTCATATTGCTTTAAAAAAAACACGAATAAAAACTAAAATTAGACCCGTAATTTCGTTGATCAAATATATAAGTCGTTACCAAACGTCAAAGAAAAATATTAAAAATCGAGAGAAACAGAATGTTGCGGGCAAATCGGTGAATCGGGTGTTACTGGTTCTAATTCCGGCTAACATTAAGATCATCCGAGTACATAAATAACAGTAATAGTGGCCAACCATTTACTCGTTTTTTTAACGTTTCCGGGCTCTGCGAACAAAAAAAAAAAAAGAAGAAAAGGATTTGTAAATGGTTCAAACTACTGTTGTCACTATGAAGACCAAAAAACAGGGAGGAAAGAAAGCAATAAAGTCCATAAGTACAGCCGTAATTCCTCAACCACCGACACAACACTCGCAACACGCTCAAACGCCTCAACAACAGTCTCATGCTTTAAACAATCAAAGTTCTCTGTCTATATCTCGTAATAAGCATTGGAAATATATCTCGTCATATCATGGTCCTTGGCTTCAACTTCCTTTGGAGTTACTCGAATCTCTTTATGTGATCAATAACGATAGTGTAGCAACACCACCACCACCTATTGATCCCATCATTTTTGGCAATTTGATATCGATTCGTCGTTTGGTTGATGAAGCTGCTGATTTATCGGTCAGAGCCGCTTCTGGTGTGTTGACTACTGGAGGCGGTCCTACGAGAAGTTCGATGTCTCACACGCGACAGCATCGGATGCGCGAGCTTGCAGTCAACAAGCTCGCTCTTGCATATCGAATTGATGAAATAGCCACTGCCGTGGTAACAATGCAATCGGCCAGTGCGATCGATGAAGTTGCTAGTAGAGTTTTGAAGAAAAATGCTACAAATTTGGAGGCGTTATATGTGAATTTTTTTCATGAGAAAATCCCATCGAGGTAAATATGAACTTATAATAGTACTTTTAAATATATTATTTAAGTAGGATATTACAACAATTGAAAGTAGAGCAACAACTGATTTGTCGTAGTGCTATGGATTAGTATTACGAAGGATGTGGAGGTTCCATTAAGTTTGGACCAACCTAATACTTTGCACAAATTTTTATCTATAAGTAGAATGCTATCGCAGTCTACGTCCACCGATATACTTGATCAGATTATTGCGACCTCTCCAACGACTCCGGAATTCTATCGCACTCGTGGTGTTGTAAAATGTTTTAAAGAAGAATTTACGGGTGCCCTCCGAGATTTCAAACTAGCATTGGCACACGCCAAACATCGGAAACGTGTGAGCAACGTTTTTTTGGGAAAAAAACCTACCCTGCCTCTTCACAATCACCACAGTAGCGAAGATGACGAATGTACAGGCACAGAAAGTCAGTTGTATTTTTTGCGCGCTGCATGCTATCTGCAATACGCAATCAGCTTGGTTGACAAGGCAATTCAAAAAGTTGATGGCGTGGAACGTAGGGATGGCGAGGGAAGTGAGTTGAGATTAGTTGCAGTTAAGAAAGGAGCCACCAGTGGGACCCCTCTTCCAAAGCTTGAAGAGTACCGAAAAGAACTCATTCCGATAATTCATCAGGTACAGAATTTGGCAAAACGCTCGGTAAGAGATTATACTCATTTCTTGGGTTTCTACCCTAGCTCTTTACCCTCATTTTCAGCTATGAGTGATGAGGACGCATCAAAAGCAAGCACCCCTGTCACATCGAGGGATTCATCTCCCGTCAGATCATTTAAAGATAAGGATGATAGTTTAGGCCCGACAAATTTAACCGAACATCATAGTGACGTGAAATTGACTGACCGGAATCGTAAAATGCCAGAAAAATCTACTGGAACATCGACCGAAACAGGAAATGTTCTTACAAACGGTTCAGTTCCTGTGTCGAAAGATCATCAACACCATAATAATCAACGTCATAATCACCATTTTCATGGATACCAACCTTCCCATGCGTTTGCGACTTATCATCCACTTCTCATTGAGGCATGGTATGCGATAGCGCTCAACTATGTTCTTTTAGGAGATCTTCACACGGGTGCATTATGGCATGCTAGGATTGCTGAGATGCATGAATTCATTGAGGGTTATCCGGTATTTCTTCCTGCACGTTCGATGGCGCAGGCAGACTACATGGAAGTCTTGGAGCGTGTTAAGAAAGCCAGTAGCCTTTCGCAACATGAAAAGTTGAAAGAGCTGGTAGAAGTCGTAAAGCAAAAGGAGAAGGAGAGGGAAGAAAAAGAACGAGAATGGGTTGAAAAGCATCAGCACCACAAGATGCTTTTAACCGCGTCAGATGATGATAATAGAGACACAATCGACATTAAAAAAGTTGGAAAAAAATCCAATGGTGTTACGCAAAGTAAGAACGGTAACGCGGTCACCCCAGTTGTTGGCATTGATGGTCAGAGACATCATCCTTGTTGCCCTCTCGCTCCTGGAAATAATATATCTCCAAAAGATCAAAATCATAACCACAATCATTCTCCCCCTCCAGGTTCGTCAACGGCATCTCCCAATAGTGCCGGTGCCAGTTCTAATGGTAACGGTAATCCTGGAGGACCGAGACAGTACCCTTTACATACGCAAAGAGCTGATTCCGTCATGATGTGGTTGAGGGCTGTCATCCTTAGAGCGGAAAAAGAACCTGATGTCAAGACATATGAGGAGACAAAGCCTGTTGATGTGAAAACGAACAAGGAAGCGAAGTCAATTGTAATAGAGAAAAGTGATGAAAACTCCTTGGAAGAAAACGTTCCAGAAACGAATGGGGTGAGCGAAACCGTTGAAATTTAAATAAGCCTTGTCGATAAGTTGCTGGGACATCACTCCTGACGGAATTGGTGAGTTTAAATTTAAAATTGTTGCTAACATGAAAAAAACCAATGACCTTAATGTAAAATGTGGTATACATAGTCCCGGATAAAATATTACAGAATAATAACACTTTAGTGTATTACCAAGTGTTTAGTAATGTTTGTTCTTTCATTTTCTTTTATAACTACTTTATTGAAAATTTAGGTTCTTTTTACAAGATTGTATATTTCCTTATTATTGTATGTTCCATTTGTTTATTTGAAAGGTTCAGTATAAACAAATACTTGTATAATTAATATTATTGATACACTATTTCTCACCTCTCCAAATTGAAAGTCACTTTCTAGAATTAAAGAATGTAATTAACTCATTATCCACATTATATCCTCTTTTTATCATTCAACTAATAGGTATTTTTCCTACGAGTTGTCTTTATTTGTTTAGACAGACGCTAAACTTTCCTCGTCCCTTGATATAAAAGAATAGGTAAGAAAAACTCCTACCATTTAATATACTAAAATAATTTTCAGAATTTTGGGTAGGGCGTTTTACATGAAGAGAGTGATGACCAAAATTAACATCAACTATAGTTGATATTTTAATGCGGAATCTGTAAAAAGTATATACATATTAAAATTAATTTATTATCTCAAAAAAAATTTTGCTTTTCAAAATAGAAGTTGTAAAAGTTACCTTTCCTTATTTATCTTCGGTTTAACGCATGTAGTGAAACTGCCAATCTATTTCAGTTTGATAAATTGATGTTAACCGCTTTTTTAAAACGAGACTCGTTCGTTCATGAAGTGCAAATGAAAATCGCAAAAATTTTAGCCTTAAAAATAAATATTAATAAACAAAAGATCACTTTTTATAGTTAAACTAAGATAATAATTAGTCATTTGTCCAAAGCAAAAAAAAAAAAAGAAATCTAATGTCTAAAGTATGTTTTAATACATCTATAATAATGTATCAAAAAATGTAACTTGAATTTTTGCTCGATCATTATATATTTCTATTTTATATATTTTTTAATATAATAAAATAATTTTACATTTTTCAGTATTATTTATATACACGTATGTATATTTACAATAAATATAAAAAAAAGCCTATTTTTCCTTTTTTTATATACTTAAAATTTTTCTTTTTAAAAAGTTTTAAATTATACAGTAAGATGCAAAAAAAAAACAATAATTATTTATAAACATACAGTTAAATATCTTATAAACAATTTTATTTAATACTGTTTTAATTAATATATTAATATTTTTTTAAAATAATTCTAATAAAAAATTTTTTATTCTTTTTTATATCTATAAAAAATAGTTGGAAATAGATAAAAAATTATTTCAAAACAATTAATATCAATTAATTATAATTATATTTTTTTTTATTTTGTTATTATAATACAAGTAAATGATTTTTTTTTTTATTAAAAAAAATTATTAAAATATATTTAATATAATAGATAATAAACTGATATACAGTATATTATAAAAAATAACAAAAAATTTTTTTAATGTAATCACATATAATAAAATATAGTTTTTATTAATATAATATATTATAAAACTTTTGAAATTTTTTTTATAAAAAAAATATATGACTTGTTATTATTAACCAATTATTAGATTTATTTTATTTAAATTTACAAAATTATAAAATTTTATATTTTATTTATAATATTATAAAAAAAATTATTTTAAACTTTAAAAATTTTTTTTTTCAGATGAAAAGATTTACTGATCAGTGGTTAGACTAGATATGCTTAAGAAATCTCTATATAACTATTATTATCCAAAAATACTTAAAGAGTTGTGCTCTACAGTATCCAAAGTAAAATAACAGTCAATACCAATGCAACTAACAATAAGTTAAATTAGTTACAGGTGTTATACTAGTAATTAGAAAACTTAATAAAATAATATATGATGATCAGGGATTCTAATTACCCTTGAAAATGAACTAGTAATGACAACAAAAGTTCCTTACTTACCTCTTAAACAATGTAGGTTTATTGTACAAGATTAGGTTTTGATGCTATTAAGAAAATTAATATAAACTCCACCTATAAAACACTTTTACTATACTTAAAACATAGATGTATCAAATTCTTTTTGTGACTTGAAAGCAAACTTGTATAAAGTAATTGCAGCACCTTTATACAAAAAGATATTCACTTCCCATTATTTCCAATATTACTTTACTTGCTGTATATTAAGTCATATTTGAAAAGCAAACATATCAATTCTAATTATAATTTGGAGACCAATCTGTATAGATTGGCTGCAGTGTCTTCATATAATTAGATATTCATTTATTTCTAGATAGCTAGATACTATTCAAGGCAATAATATAGATTTTTAAATTTCTTTTTTTTTTTTTTTAAGGCTAAGTTGCAATACTTGTATGGATTTTATTGGTATTTCAATTATGATCACAATTACTTATATATAAACAGTCTATTAGCTATTACTAATATTAATCCACACAACCTATTCTTTTTATCAAAATATTAACACCTGGGGTGAATCCATATCCTGGCTTTTATCGTTATGTGATAGTCCTATAACTGCCTAGGTAAGTACCTATTATGTTATGCCTCCACCGTACACATGCCATATTTGATAACTGGAACCTTTGACACAAGTATACACTTCCTAGTGAATGCTCCAGTTTTACCACTAGTTGGAACTGACTATCAAATCTAGAGGCCACTTTAGCCTAATGGTATAACTTCTTAAGAGGTTTTCCTTTAAACTTCTAATAGATACTTTAGACAGGCCAGTTGGTATAAGCTGTCAAATCTAGGAGTATGAATACCAAGTAGGATGCAACTCCTGT